CGTCGCAATTTGCTGTAGTAGTTTCTTCTTTCCAAGCTTTGCAACTATATATGGTGTGCATAGAGTCGTCTTCTTCATGGCATAGTGCACATATCGGGCTTTCAGCGAATTTAAATCTGTATAGATATGCTTGAAAGTTCCCATGCCCTGAGAAGGCTTGCGTCAAGTAGAAGTCCATTGTGCCATGGTTCCTGCTGGTCCAATCCTTCATGTTAGGTTCGAGGCTGTCTACCTTTGTACTCCAGGACCCATCGGTTTTGCTATTAGTGCAGGAGATGTTTTCTCAATTCCGCTTGGATATTGTCTTGTGGACAGGGTTTTTTGTTTATCTGCTGTCGTCCTCAGGTACATTGTCCTCCTTTCCTGGGCTAAAACGTCCACTGGGTGGACATTGGCCAGTACTAAGGCTGCACTGTCGGATATCGTGCGATATCCTGAGATTATCCTTAGTGCCATCCTCTGAATCTGTGCGAATTTCCGTCGAATGGACTCATTAGCTAGCGCATCTGCCCACACTGGGGCGGTACACAGCATTTTTGAGTGCACTACGGCAGAAATTAACCTTTTGCTTTCACTGGGACCTCCTGAGTTCAGCATTAGTCTGGAGAGATTTGATTTAGTCTTTGCAGCTTATCCTGCTGATTTTATAATATAGGGTCCGAAGCTCAATCGTAAATCAATTTCCTCCCCCAGTTATGTAATATGCCGTTTCCATTCAATAAGTTCCTCCCCCAGTCAGATCACCGGGGGGCGGAATGCTCTGCGGCTTGTAATCAACACGGCCTCTAGGCAACAGCTATCTGGGGATTTCTTTGGTCCAACCATCTTTTAACGCTGCGTAGTGTTTCGTTGGTCTTCATTTCCAGTAATTCCACGTTGTCACTGTGACATATAATTAATGTATCGTCAGCGTAGCCTGTGAGACTGGAGTTCTTTGGGAGTTCGTTATTCAACAGGTCGTCATATAGAGTATTTCACAGGAAGAGGCCAATCTTGATTCCAGTGGAACACCGCACGTCTTGTCTTCCTCAATCCTATACCTGTTAGTGTAGATTATTTTCCTCTTACTGAGGTAGTCCTCTAGGATCCTCACAAGGTATTCAGGGATCGTCCTATCTACTAAGGCTTGTATTGTCTTTCCAGCTAGCAGAATTGAAGGCATTTTTGATGTCAATCGCAACCAAGTCACAAAAGCTCTTATTCCTTTTTGCTTTTTCTGCACGGTGTACTGCTTCTGAGAATGTGTCTGTCGAGAGTCCCTTTCTAAATCCAAACTGTCTCGATGAAAATTGGGCATGTCTCTTTAGTCGTAGAAGGAGCAAACCCTCCAGTAATTTGCTCATCATATCCAGCAGGCACAAAGGTCTGAACGATGACGTCCTATCGATTGGCTTGTTACCTTTCCGAATGAGAATTAGTTTCTGATGTTTCCAACCCTTATAGAATTTGTCTTGTTCAAGACTCTGGTGTCTTTCAAAAGGCATTCTGGGTATTCTTTTACAACTATCCCCAGGATCGCGTTCGGACTTCCGTCAGGTCCCGTTGCATTTCCAATCTTGGTCTTCATCATCGTCTGAACTAGTACGTCCTTCGTGAAGCGGTTGGCTTCGTCGAAGAGGTAGTCAGAAGGTCTGCTCCTTACCCAGATTTCTCTGCTAGGGAAAAGGTATTGGATAATTGCCTTCACCCACTCGGGGTCTTCTAGCCCCGCTGTTGTTGAAGGTTTAAATTTGCCCATAACAATCTTGTAGGTTTTCCCCCAGGGGTCGTTGTTCACATCGTTTAATAGGGCCTTCCAGCATTTAGTTTTGCTTCTTTTAATCTCCGATTTTGGTTTTTTGCGAGCCGTCTTGTAATTTTCCCTCAGCAGAATGTCCGTTTTAACTCTTGTTGCAAGTCTACTAGCTTAAAAAAAATGCTTGACGAAGCTCTGCAATAGTCGGTGTCCACCAATACATGTGATTTTTTCGCTTTGGGCTCCTACTTCTGGGCATTGAGATGTCACATGTATTTTTAACGGTTTTGCACGTTTCCCGTACTACCTCTTCGAGGG